CCGCATATTATGAATATTATCGAGTATACTGCGACGGTTGCAGATAAGAAGAGGCGTGTTTTCGCCACCTTCCCAGCTGCCCATAAGCGTGCCCCTATCAGTGGCGAGGTCTTAAGGACTGGTCTTGTACGTAAGGATTTGCTGCAGTGACTGGTTATAGCGTTAGAACTCACAGCCTTCCTGGAATTGTGGTAAAAGTCATCGCTGGAAATCTACACTATGAGGCCTCCCTCACTCGTTAAGGTGTAACGTCCTATTTGGATATTTATACCGTGGAATGAAAGAAATATCGACAATGCACCCACCAGTCAGATATCCACTATGCCAAGGCCTATGCCAAGCCGGGTGGCTGCGGGTATAGCCGGTAGCCACATTAGTGTGGACGGGGGACTGTCGGAGGGGGACTGTCCGAAGATAAGTTGAACAGGACAGGTGCGCGCCGATGCGGCTCACAAGTTTCTGGCCTCTGTATGAAGGGTGGGCCCGGAACTTGTGCGATTGGCCAATTGAAGAAAGAGGCTTAGAAGAGACCCTCAATCCCAGCCTCTCCAGACGATGTCTCTTGTGCATACGGGTTAAATACGAACTAACCCGTCGCAGTCTAGGGGAGGCCTTCCGCTTCAGATTCTCGACAGCCTTGGAGGCCTCTTGCGAGTATTTCACGGTCGATTTCGTGCTATGATTGCCTAAGAAGATAAAACTAAGCAACTGTTTCCATCACCAACATGGCTTCGTGATTGCTAAGATCTGCGATGTAGACCCAAAATGAGAAAAATCTCTCGAGTACGGTGTGCCATATTGACAAAAGGGGGGGGGGGTTTTTTTGCCCTACCAAATCTACCCCACCACATCTGAATTTAGAGGGGCCGTTTAGGGGGTTCGTCCCAGGGCCCGGATACCTCATACTAAGGCCCTTGGGTCCTTTAATCCTTAGGCTCCCACGGGCCCAGAGATTAAAAATATTTTAATTTAATACTTACTTTCTTAATCTTAAATCGAATTTCGGAATTTTTAAAACTAGTAATAGAATTATATCTTATTTTAAAGATTTTTTAAGTTAAATTAAAAAATTTATAATATAGAGTTTAAGAAACTAAAAGAGATTAAGTATAAGAATTAATTCTAAGTATAAAATAATTTAAGATAATACTAAAGAAGATTCGATTTAAGATTAAAGAAATTAGTATCAAACTAAGATATTTTCGATCTCTGAGCCCGCGGAGGTCTAGTGATCATCGGGCCCAAAGATCTTAGTATGAGGTACCCGGGCCCTGAGACGAACCCTCTAAACGGCCCCCCAAAATCTCGATACCGAGATGGCGACCCTCTAGTGAGTCGAATATTCAGTTGTAGTGGGGTAGATTTGGTGGGGCCAAAAAAACAAAAAAAAAAAAAGGTAAAAACCGTTTTGTCAATATGGCATCCCTTATGTGAGCGTTAGCCTACGCGTAGATAAATTTAAAGTATTCTGACATTTAGCCCTGTGTAGTAGAGAGAAACCCACCGTGCCGAGACGAATTCACTGTTTAAGGGTCCCAAGTCTCTTCCTCGCAAGTATGTGAAGTTATGGTTAGTGTGCCATTATTCTTTAGCCGTTTCTCCGCAAGGATTCGGTTTGCAACGAGAATACATCGTGGTCTTGGTTATGCCGTCGACCGTCCCGTCCATGGCGTCGAAAGCGGCTTTAGCTATTTCCCCTAGTCTCAGCTTAGCCCCACCGGCCTTGAGGTGGGTCTAAGTAGGAAACCCTGCTAAGACTTAATTTTTTGGTATATCGCCCGATATGTAATATTCACACCCTGCGTACATACGATCCTTAACAAAAATACGCAACTACGTGATATAGCCTTTTTTGAAATTTTTGAAAAAAGTCGAATAAATAGTTAAATAGGCTTTCGTTAAATTAGAAGTTATAGTATAATAGTTAAAAAGTAGACTTTCAATTTTATTTTACTAAAAAACTTAGCTAATTCAGCTATTATAGCAGCGATATTAATATTTAAAAACGCTATACATCTTAATAGACGCGTAGTACTATATAGAAATTCTCTTATAGTATATAATCCTCGGGGTAACCGCTATAGTACTCGTCGAATCGACGATATAGCGTATTGAAAAAAATGTCGTAGCCTCGCTAGTTAGTTTATTACTTCGATTAGACGTCGTAGTCTCCTTTCATTTTTTAATCAAAATTGCGAAGAGTAGAGTGGAGAGTAAAGTGGAGAGTAGAGCGAAGAGTAGAGCGAAGAGCGAAGCGGAGATAATTTATTCTTTTAATATAAAGTTAGATATTAATAGCGGCGATATCGATAAATAAGAATATCTCGTATAACGTCGAAGTCTCTTATAGATATATAAAATGTAGAAAAAGACGTCTTTGAATGTAGGAAGGTCTACGTTATCGTTATAAACGAGCTAATCGAATATTACTTAGTATTCTTCTTTCTATTACCCGGAAATTAAATATATAACTTTTTTTCTTTACTTTAAAACTAGTCCGCTAAATATTTTAAAACTTTATATTTATTAGAAGAAAGAATATTTCTATAAGCTATAAAGAGGTTAATATATATAATTTAAAAATATTTCGCTATCGTCGTTAAAGAGAAAATTATATATCTAAGCGTTTTTTATAATCTCTTTATTCGCTTTAATTCATTTTAAACGCGTTAAGCGTATTAAAATTATTTAAGATATATATTTTATACTCTCTTTAACTTCTAAGTAATATATCTTCGAGTTAATAAATATATATATAAAGGAGATAGCTTTAATACTCGATTTTTATTAAATAGTAATATAATTAAACTTATAATTTAATTATTATACTCGACTCGTTATATAATCTTTTAATAATATTAAATATAATACGCTATCGTCTAAAATTTAATTATCGAAGAATAATTAGCTAAAAGTAGATGCTATAATCGTTAGCGGAGAATATATATTCGAATAAGCTTATATGATAATAACGAGCTATTTAATTATAATAAAAAGTTTATATACTTATTTAGCGACCTCGAAAGACTTATTATTCTCTTAATTAATATTAAAAGACTATATAATAATAGTTAGAAAAATGAAGAAAATCGCGATTTCCCGATAACGGAGTGATTATTACGATAGGCCTATATAAATTAACGATCTATATAGCGATTTAGAAGTTTTCTACTTAGACTCTAAGAGAGAGGTATACCGTAATAAGCTTGCGATATGATTGGCTCCCGAAGCGAGGTACGAGTGTAGGGCTGGCCATAGGTACCCCGGCTAGCCGTGACATCTGCAAATCTGAAAAGTTTCTGTAAAATTTGAAATTGCTAATCGCGCGTGTATCGCGGAAATTATAAAATCCGTCGAATTAGTAAATCTGATTAGAATTTATCTAAATTCCGTCGATTTAATAACTATCTTAATCTTTTTTATTAGTTTTATTAGTTTAATAGTAATATATATAAAAAAAGAAAAGTTCTAATAATTAACGTTACGATAATAAGATTTTATAGTAATAAGTATTAACGCTAATTTAAATTTAACTACGAAATTAAATAATTTAATAAAATTAGTCGCGTAAGTAATACTCTAATATAGCGTATAATAATATATATATTAATAATAATATATATTAATATTATATATATATAGAATAGTACTTAGAGTATATTAAAGTATATTACGTAAAAATTTTAAAGTTATTAAAATTTTTTAAAGTTATTAAACTAGTAGAACTAGCGAAAAGAATTTAAATATAGATAAAGTCTGCTAAATAGGCTAAATCGTGCTGATCGTACGGATCCGACGAAAATTATACGAAAATTAATTTTTTAGATTTGCAGATGGAGTCTGAATTACTAAGACTAATTCCCCCCTACTCCATCACGACTATCGGCCTTTCACCGAATTTCGGGGCTATAGTATAAAGGTTCTATTAAGAAAGAATATGGCTCCAGACTTTCAAGACATAGAGCGTAAGGAAAACTGTACTGTATGCCGAGTTTATCCGAACAAAGGGGTAAGCACACAGAATGCCAAGAATCTTAACGAGGACTTAATACGCTACGTAATAACGTATTGATAATTACTCTAGTTATACAGTCTATCTAAGCTATAACGATTCGCTATATAACGATATTCTAGTTATAACGATTGCACAGCCATATAATGATTATTTTTGATATAGAATAACGATAACTTGTCTACTACAATATCGTTAGTATTTACTTAGTAAATTTAATAATATCGTTATATTTAATAGCTCTAAATAATATATCCTCGCCATCATCGCCGTTATTAAAATAGAATTTTAATAATCTTAGAGTATCTATCTCCCCTCTATTATCTAATTCTACTCGAAAATAACGCCGAGTAGTTATTAACGCTAAACGACGAGATATATATCTATATAATGTAATTAGATTAAATAATAAATATAAGATAGAGGCGCTTTAGGCCTAGTTCTTAGAGAAGAATTTAGAGGCTTTAAAGCTATTGAAATATCTATAATTATATAAGAAATAATAAAACGACGGCGATAATATACTAATTATACGTCTGAATCGATATAAGAGAGAGATTAGGGCTTATAAGGCTTCTGCGTAAAAGTAGATATCGATTTAGACGTATTTTAGTAGTAATTAGTGCAAATCTAGGCTTAATGATAATTTGGTTGTAACGATACTATCTCTATGAAATGATATATCGTTATAGTCTAGGTAGATTGTATTACCGAATAACTTATATACCTTAAGGTATACCGAAAATTTTCAAAGTGTGGCGTTCTTCTAGAAATTTCCATGAGCAGCCACGTGTCTGGTTTGGTTTGCCTAGCGACCTCACTCCGATTACATAAGCAGCTGGCTAGCTTGCTATTGTTCAAATATGAACACTTTCTGCCTCAGGATCTAGTCACGTCGTCGGCCATCGGCGATATCTCTGATGTGTCAGGTGAGACAATTGGACTTCTGCCAAACTCACATCTCCAAATATTCCATCTCAACTCAGAAATGGCATCCGAAGATCCTAACCCCGATTCGGACTCAGATCCGCATCAAGCCCCAACTTTGGCATTGAAACAAGCTCTATGCTTTTCCTGCTGGGACGTATCCTCCAATCTCAATCGATGCAGCGCTTGCAAACGGGTCTCATACTGCTCAGCGAAGTGCCAAAAGCAAGACTGGAACAGGAATCACAAGAAAATCTGCAAGAAACTTGTTGCTTTAAACAAGCAGAAGGGATATGTACCCTCAGCTGGCAGGCAGTGGAATGACTACTATGACGAGCAGGTACATTATTTGGCAAGACGAGCGAGCAGATTCTGAGACACTTTACAGGAGCTAGACTTAGGATCTGGTAATCGGAATCCTAGTGAACTTAGAATATTCGTTGGGTATGTCCATTCTCCCGTCACCGATGAAAACCGATCGCCAACAAGCCTGGGCACTATTACCATGTTATATTCATGTCGGAGAAATTCTTAAGCTGACACTTACAGTTAGCTACGAACCATATTGCTATCACTGCTACAGAAGAGAGTCTCAACTTGAAGATGGGGCGAAGTTGAACGCCTGCCAATACTGCCTTCTCACCTCATTCTGCCCCTCCTGCCAGCAAACACATCCATCAGCGGAGTGCTCCACCTTGCAAGATATTGCGGCCGACGACAAGATTATTGTAGATCTCCGCCGGCGAACGGGAAAGAGCTCGACCTTTTCTCCCACCAAATTTCCCAGAAAACAACATTTTTTACTCTCTTCCGCAAAGGACTGGTATGACTACTACACGAGGCTCTCAGACATGGGTGGCTTCAGGTCCAAAATGAACCGAGATCTGAAGTACCTCGCAAACGACCCCGAAGAACGAAAACTCGTCGAATATATGAGATGCGGTACTAACACGACAACAATTCAACTTACCTTAATCGCTGCCTTGGAGGCGGTGATACCCAATATCAGCACTCGGGGTTCGATCAACATTCACATTATAGGCGCAGCTGGAGCTGAATTTAACTCTGTTCCTGCATTCGAGGAGCTATTGCACTTTCTACCATCGCTGACTGCCCTTCAGTTATCTTTCGTGGGTCTGAATGTGCTCGAGGACCTTAAACACGACACAGAAACCCAGAATCCACACACACTTCAGTGCTGCACCACGTGTACCAAGATGGGACGGACAATTTCCATTACCACCTGGAGAGGTCCATATCACGCATACGTCGATACCGAATTCTACAAGACGCCAGATCTAGCAGCAGCCTTCCGCTCAGGGTTTTCGGTAGACGAAGAAGAGGACTGGTATCCAACCATCAAGTATCTTGCACATGCTCCACATCCAACACTCCTTACTGCGGCCAGATACTTTGAGATTCAGGGAGAAATGGGAGTTTGGAAGAATCTGGGGGCTGAATTTGTGAAGAACGCTGAAGTAAATAAGTGGAAGGGGATGTCTCCTTCGCTTACAGTCTGTGGGGACAAGCCGAACGAGGTCGTCTATCGAAATTATTGGTGGTATATCGTGAAACAAAGGTAACTGGGAAATATGAAGGGTTATTGTGTGGAAGGAACGAGAATGGACTTGTCAAGGGAGGCTGCCACCTAGTGAGTCTTGATGTGAAATTCAGAGCAGATGTATGACGCCTTACCAACGGATCCCCGCAAACTCATTTCGCGCCCAATATTGTATAGAGTGACTGATTCAATTTCAGCGGCACCAGCGCCTGATGCCGGATCTCACTGATTGGGAAGCTCAAGAAGTGGCTGATCTGGAGAGTTGTGGAATCAGGGTTTGGATGGGTTGTTAAACAATGTTGCAACTATTAGTATCACTTTCGAAGACCTATCATCCAAGATCGCTTCGCAATGTAATCCGAATGATCAGAGGTATAGTAACAATCTGACTTTTCCTCCTCGGTGGTCACATCGCCTGCGTCTTCTACTGTTAGCTCAGCAGTGTCCTTCTCCACTTGTCCAACCCTGCTGTCTGCTTTGTTGAGATTACGAATCGCTCCTCGTACGCAGCCCGAACTACGCTCCTCGTCCTCCATTTGAAAGTCGCCGCATGAGACAAGGTATAGCACTGCGTTAAAGACTGTAGCGCTATCCTGCATCTCATCCTTGAAATCCCTCAGAAGTATTAGATACAATAGCTTAAAAGCTGTGTCGCGCGCTTCTGACTTGTCACCCTGGATTTCTCGTCTCTCCTCGCGATCATAGTCGCTTTGGCCAGATTCCAGATCGCGGAAAATCCCGTCGATGGATCGCCAGCCCAGAACGTCAACGCGGAGGAAATCATAAGAAAAAAATTAATAAGATATTAAGATATTCTATAGTTTAAATATTAGTTAAATTTATAAAGTTAAATTATTATAGATATTTTTAAGAATTTTTTAATTTAATCTAATATTTATTAATTTAATATTAAATTATATTATCTTATATATAAAATTTATTATTAAAATTTATTTCTTTTAATCTTTTTATATTTATAATCGAGATTTTTTTATTTTAGAAAAAGAAATCTTAAATTAATATTTATTTCTAAATCTCGATTTAAAAAAATTAAAATTTAGTTTAAATTTAATTAGTTTAATATTAAGCTAAATTATCTTACGTATAAAATTAATTCTTTAACTTAATTTCTTTTAAATTTCTAAACTTTATATTCGAGATTATTTTATTCTAGAAAAAAAAATCTAATTTAATTATATTTTCTAAATTTAACTTAAAAGTTTATAAAAATTAAGCGAGAATTAAGAAAGTTAATATTAAATTAAAATATCTTCGATTTCTAAGATCTTAGTATAAGATATTCGGGCTCTAGACGTATGAACTTTGACTTTGCCATCTTCGTTGACGTGTGAGAATTGAAGCCGAGATCATCCAGTGAGAGCCGTTGGCGTCGCCTTCCTCAACTCGATTTCCTTACCAAGAAGCTGAATCGGCACAAGCTTGCAACAAGAGCAACGTTCCCTTTCGCCACTCTCTTACTCGTCCTTCATATCCATCAAGGTAAGTCCGTTACGGTTAAAGAACTATTCACCCACACCACATCGTCCGTCGCATTTGATGACGAGGTCGAAAGCTCCCGGTCGCGGAAGGACACGGTAGGGAAATTGGTGCATGTGTAAAAGACGCCTTTGAGTCGCAGGATTAGCCCAGCAATCTAGACACCATGACTCCGTTTACTCGTGGACTTGAAAGCAGAAGAACTCTTTGCGTGGAACGCGTGATGGAAAAGTATGAAGGGACGGGCGGACATACTGCCAGCATAATATACGTAGTTATTCGGCATATATTTCTGCGACCCCGCGTTCAAACGGAAACAGTCGTTGATACTGTACACTTCAATATACGGCACCCTCTTGTTCGTCGCCGCTACAAGGTAGACGTGCGCGAGCTCGTGCAATAGCCACGCCCTTGAATTTTGCGCGAGAGGATTTCCCAACCCTCTAAATCGATTCGTCGCTCGGTCCACGGCGATGCACGGTCTCTTTTCCTTTGGCTCGTCTGGTCGGTTGAAGATGAACCAGCCGGGACACAGGGCTACTATGTTCGTGCCGCCAACGAAGATGCCATAGACTCGGTCGCCTCTGTCGTGGCAGTCCTGCTTGGCGAAGGCTTGCACCCAGGGCGTCAATCCCACAAGCTTTGGGTCAGGATTTACGATAGGGGGATCAGGTATGCACGCGATGACTGGGCTTGTCACTCTGCCAAAGCCGGACTGGGCGAGGCCGGGGAGGACGGGGGTGCCGAAGGCGATATTTTGGAGTATCTTGCGGACGAAGGGGGTGTTGTGCACGTCTTTGAAGAAGGTATTGTAGGCGCCGCTTGTAAAGGTTTTTTCGCTGTCGGTGATGGCAGGTTGGAGGAATGGTGAAAGCGATGAGAGAATTGTTGCTATTCGCGATGCATTGGTGCCGCAGCCTTGGATGGAGTAGAGGCCGCTCATTACGACGTCGCCGGAGGCTGAGTCGGGTCAGATAATTGGGGCGAGGAAGGGAGTTGGGACACACTTTGCCTTTGCTGGATGGTTGGGCTGGCGGTACAGAGGGATGCTGCGATTGTGGAGTATAAGAAGAAAGGGTGTCTCATGATTGCTACGTTGGCGGTCCCGCGCTTCTTTCGACGGATGTTGTGTGCTCTTCGATTTTTGACACAGCACTTGGTGAATGTAACTAGTGTGAGTACCTCTGAAAGAATTTTGACAAACAAACTGTGATGCGCGTCGACCGTTGTCGGTTGAATTTTTTCGCCTCAGCGGCTGTATGCACGTGAAGTTCGAACGCGCGCCTACCCTCTTGTCGTTCAGCTGGTCGATATGCGTCAATTTTCCTCAGAATGCTTTATTTATATCAATGCCTTCGGCACAAAAAGAGGAACTCTTCAAGAGGCGCTGGAGCGATTAAAGGGAAAGGAAGGCTTGCTCACTTTTTCTTTCACTTTCACTTTTTCTTTTTCTTTTTCTATTTTTCCGCGTTGACTAGAGTTTTTTACAATTTGACTGGCGGTTGGTCGGCCTCGAGAATATACCCATCAAGGTGGGGGGGTAAACCTCGAGAACACTCATCATCCAGCTATCTTACTAGATGCTCCTCGTCTTCTAGTAGTTATTTGGCGAGAACCGTTTAGCAGGTCTGTCAGCTAATTAAAATCTTTTTATCGATTCTATTTGGCACTCACTCTATGCTTTATATGGCTGGGGTAGAATGTGCTCCAGTTTCATGCACACTGATCCTAAAGGCCACTGGGAAGTTGGTCTTGGAGAGTCTCACAATCTCCTCGAAGTATTTCTACACTTCGCCATCTTCCTATGAATGCTTCAATCTTGCCCGTGATCTGACGTTTTTCAAGGCCAAAAAAATGAGTAAACATCACCGGGTGGTAGGGACTTTCCAAAAGAAGCCATGGTGACGCTCGTGACCGCATACCTCCCTTATCCGGTCGTCGCGTAGGCTTCAATGGCAACGGCAGGTATTCCGCTGTGTCTCCGTAGAACATTCCGTCAATACTGTTGTGGTTGCTGCTCAAAGAGTCTGTGGCAAGGAAAGCTGACAAGTCTAGCCCTGATCCCTACCTCTGCCAGGAGAGCTTTCGTAGTGACAGCAAGAGAAAGACGCCTACGCCTATCAGGGTGAGATCCGCCCCCTCGTCCTCTATCAACACCTATGCCCCATTGGCGACTTCTTCTTGCCCTGTCATGTCGGGATACTGGGGCAAATCTTGTGCCGACAGACTGATGATGGTTGGGGTCTGCTTGGCTTCGATGGGCACTTTCCAAGCTCCGGCTGGCTCGTTGCTGTCGGTCAGCCTTATACACATCATATTGGGCATGACTCTGAACAATGCAGCAACTTCTATGGGCTGATGTGTTGGCCCGTCTTCACCCATCCCAATCGAATCGTGAGTAGCGACGGGGATGACTCGAAGCTGTTGAAGTGCTCCCATTCGGATGGCAGAGGCGCCGTAAAGGACAAACCTGAGGAAAGTCGAGGTCACCGGTATGGTTGTGCCAGGATTGAATGCCGCGATCCCATTGGATGTTGCCGTCATAGGGTGCTCGTAGACACCCCAATGGATGTAGCGTCCACCATAGTCACCGTGCGTGCCGGATTTGAGTGACACTGCAGGCTAGAAATAGCAACAATATGGTCTCGCAAACACGTATGCCTGAAAGTCCGTCTTCTGATTCCATATCATATTGACGCTTGAGTCCAAATCCGCGGTTCCAACGATGAAGGAGTTGATCTGCTCCACGACTCCATGAATGCCGAGGCCCGCGCTCTGAGTTGTAGACATGGGAATAGGATGGAATTGGTCTGTGGTTAAGCTCTGCCACGCCGGAGGAAGATCTCCTACAATCCGTCGGTCCAAGTCTGCGCCTACAATGGGATACTCCAGATTATAATTCGCCAGTAAATGATGCTATTTCAGGACTTCAGCATCTCCGCATGGGCTAATATCATTAAGTGATTGATGACCTCGTCCGGTATATGGAATTTCATCAGATCATATCCATACGTCTCTTTGACCCTTTTAACCTCCTCTACTCCCAGTGGCGTTCCGTAAGTTTTCCCGGTGCTCGCAATTTTGCTACCAGCACCCATCACAGTCCGACATCAACTTTCAGGGTTCCAAGTTTCACACCGCTCTTCAGGAGGCTGCCTGGTGGGGCCAAGATAAGACAGTAGCATTCATCCTCGATCACGGTGCGGACATCGATGCTAGAGCTAAAGACTCTAGTACGGCGCTACAATTGGCCTCTTCGCACAACCACGCGGTCGTTGTAGAAATTTTAGTAAAGCGAGACGCCGCAGTGGATGCTCCAGCTGGAGACTTCGGCACAGCTTTGCAGGAGGCTTGCCGATGGGAATCAAGAAATCCGTCAAAATTCTGCTGGAGAATATGGCCGGTCGGATTCTTCAGGTTGACAATTACGGGACTGCCTTGCAAACAGCGTCTCGATGGGGCCATTACAAGGCATTCCAACTTCTGCTTGACCGAGGCGCGAACATCGACACTCGAAGCGCACGTCTTAGTACAGCCCTGGAGGCCGCGAAGCATTGGAGACAGGATGAAATTGCTAAGCTACTGATTGATCGAGGGGCGGCAGTGTACAATCAGAGATGCCCAAACAAGCGGCAACGGATTGGGCGGATAAAAACATTATGCTTGCTTTGATTCGAGAGCGATAGATCTAGTGAGGGCAGGCTTATTAGATATGAAAGCTGACAAGAAGACCTATGAAGCATCTCTGGGCTCTGATATTGACGAAGCTACTGTGAAAACGAATGAGTGGAGACGACATAGGAATTGTATCCCCTCTACATCGTGGGCGTAAGAGGGTTCCTGCAAATCCTTTGAATGTGTTCCTAAAATTTCTTCACTTCTTGGCAAGTTCATTAACCTGTCATTGGTCACAGCGACCAAGCCGCATGAGTGGTTGGGAACCATCGATACCGTAAGGCACTTGGGAGTAAAGACCTTGCCGTACTCTTGTGTATGTTCATTGGGCGGGAACACATGTGGGTCGCCCTGGGTGCAAGACGCCTAAAGTAGAATAAATCGGTCCATCCGAAGACCAATTCAGACAGGCGCGCTAGACCGCGCCTGCCTCACAGACGCGTAAGGTACTTTACTTTAGTAACCAGCTTCTTCATCCACTGATTCTCTGACCCAAGACCCGAAGACTTGACTAAATCAATGGATGCCCAAATCCAATGGCAGATACTCTAAACTCCTCTGATCAACCCACCGCGTGTAGTCCCCTTGAGCAAGAAGTCCTAGACGAATATGCGCTCCTCCTTGACAATCTAAACAAAGTACATCCCGCTCTGCTGCCTTCGCACAGTCATAGCATCTCGAGCCTGATTGCTGACTTAGGCGACTTTCTAGCTCTCCAATGTCCTCTCCTCTCTCGCCGAGCGGCCGACTGCAGAGGTTTTGGATGGCCTACGAATGCTGGAGAGGAAGACGAGTCTGGTGTGCACGTTGCTGAAGGCGAGTGTGTACAGTATTGTGTTGCAGCAGCAGATCTATGGCGGGGAGGAGGGAGAGGGGCAGGGATAGAGAGACAACGAGGGATGACAGGGCGTTTAGGGTTGGTTGGTGGGCGTTATAAAAGGAGGACTGCGTGGAGGGATACCCATTGAATGAGTGACCATGTCGACTGAAGGAGCTCCCAAGATCTACGGCTAGATGAGAAGCAGTGTGTTGGACGTCATGAGAATGACAGAAGCTCTCGAACATCCTTGACGCCTTGCCACGATGCATTATGTACAAGCTCTTACGATACAATGCTATAAATTCCCACCATAATACACCTTGCGTACATCTACTAATTTCTTTCCCAACCCTCTTGCCACCTCGTCCGGTATCTTTTGGCTCAGTAGCGCCTGAAACGTCGCTTTGATGGTGTTCATAGGATTCCGTGACCGCGTGACACGTGCTGCTAGATCCGATATTCCTGCGCACCGGCACATTTCGAAGATTTTGTCCTGACATCGAATTCCGAACCCTGTGAATAAACTCAGCGCGACCCTATACACCGTTCATGATGGTACATACCTGGCGGTCTCGTCATCAACTCTAACTCCACAGCCCCCATCTTCACCTTCACATCTCCATAGATCGTCCGATCCTCATACCGAGGTATAGGCTGCACATTCCGTATCGCAGCATAATGCGCCTGCCTCCTTGCGTCCTCCGCCTCTGCAGATTTGCCCTCCCCGATTCCCAACAATCCCCTCCCGTTTCCTGCAACAGTCAGGAAATACATGCTCTGTATCTTTCCCATCTTCGTCTGATTGACCACCCTGTGTACGACCAAGTTCTTTACCCTGAATCTCTTGATGTCATCTAGAGAGAAACCCGTTTGCCGCATCAATCTCTTCATCGCAGGATCAATCTCAACTTCGCCTGGCTTGCCAATTCCGGGCTGTTTCAATGATTCAAGTCCCTTGGGTATCTCTGGTGCCAGCGAGCTGACCGGCTTCCGCTCTGCCTCCTCTTTGCCCACTGTCAACCGCATGTTATCCATGAACTTCATGTAGTCCAACCTCGTAGCATCCTCAGGCATCTCTTCGATAAATTTCACAAAGTCTTCGGCTATCTCGTCTTCATTCTTGTACCGTAGCTTCGGGTCGTAGTTCTCCTCGGGTGCTCGGATAGGCTTGTCAACGACAGGGTGGATGGTAGCGAAATCATCATAGTATTCGAAGGCAAACGGGTCATCTCGCATCATAGCCTGCTCAGCCAAGTCTTTTGGGTCTATGGCAGCTTCTCCGGCTTCAATTGCGGCGAGCTGGGCTGGGGTGTATTTGAAGTGCGTAGTAAGCTTTCTTTTGTCCTCCTCTGAGTAGGCTTTGAAGTCATCGGCGGTAGTTACCGTTCTGGCAACATCCTTACGTGGAGCGCCCCTTGGGGCTTTGGTGGGTATCTTTGGAAAATCGG